CTACAAAGTTTTCTTAATTGAATTTCATTTCATACTTTAAGGTTGCATTTTATAATTAATCCTTTTTATGGTATCCATCCCGCTTTGGACCCCCTTCTTTTCATCGAAAGACCTTAATTGAACAGGTGCCATGCATATTAATATTTGTTAAGACTTTCCCTGGATGTTTTATGTTTCCTTGTGACAAAACGTGAACAAATGTTAATATTAGTAAATGTATAAACATTACATTGAAAAAATATAGGAATAAATGTTTAAACTTCATACATCACGATACGATGAAGAGAGCATACAAGCGTAATTAAACTATAGCAAAACAGCTTTAATCTACGAGGGTTGATCCTAAAGTAATGTTACAACTGCTATAAAATCTTTAAAAATCCAAAGTTATCAAATAAGATTTTATATATAATATTACCTCTATCTATTTTGACTTTTGCCTTCTAATTTCATCCAGATATATGCGATACTTTTCAAAATATTCCAGTAAACAAAATCGTTAGGTTTTGTCCATCGCCGCATGGCAAGAGCGTACCAAAGTCGTTATGATGTTTCTCTTTGGCACTTACTTTCAGTTCATTTAATAAATAAATCAATTAAATAGCTCAAAAAAGCGTTTTATTTCATACATATCCCCGTCTACTGCTGGAGCATCTAGTTTTGGGCTATTTCATTAAAAGTGTTTTATGCTCTATTGCTTTTGGATATTTATTTCGTCGTGCGAACATGTATCGTCGGATTTAAGAGTAAGTGACGTGAAAGGCCCATCCTCCACGTTTACATTTTTCTTCCTACCATCTATCCATCTTTTGACTTTCATTTATACTGGTATTTTATGTAGCTTAATATGTATCTTTATAATATTTGTTTTTAATTTCCCTTGATAAGTACATTTGTAGTTATAGTTAATGTTTCGGACGTCAAGTCTACCGTTGTTACATTTTAAATGAATAAGATGAAAGTTAGGGGATAGTTAATCAATTTTTATCGTCATTTACTCTTAAATCTTACGAGACATCAGATCTATGCAAAAGGAATGAATTTAGAAAATAACATTTGGACAAAGTTCAAATACTGTGAAATCACCAATTTTCGTGGGCGTTAATTTTCGTGGTTTTCAAGGCATGATGAGACCCACGAATTTATGACCACCACAAAATGTAATTTTTTGCATAATTTTATATTACTACTCAACAATTCTTCATCCTCGAAATCAAATCCCCACGAACCCTATTTTTTTTTTAATCACAAAAATTTGACCCCACGAAAATATGTGATTTTACAGTAATTTTAATACTACAACTCGAATCAAGACGTTTTATGGCAAAATGACAGCAAAGATTATTGAAAAGAAGTATGTGAGAGGTTAAAAAAATTGCGGATGAACTGAAAAATAAGTGCCGAAAAGCAAGTCATAGCGTTAATATCTTTGCAGTGCGGCGATAGAAAAAAACCTAACACTGTGTTTATCTTTTAATGACATTTTAAATGTATTTTATATGAATATTTGAAATTTTAGGGTAAAAATTAAAATTCATAAGGGCATTGGTATGTAAAACTTTGGTGATAACATTCGGCTATGAAATTTTTATATACATGTATGTAGCAGTTGTGACTTTTATATCAACCCTCGTATATAGTTAACACACAGTTTACGCCTTAACCTACGTTTCACAAAACAATTAGTAAAATATAGTGTACTACAGTTAAACATAGTTTTACTGACAAAAATTATCCTTAAAAAATTGTTATCTGTAGTATACACATCTTAGACTATAGTTTACAATTAATAAACCTAGTTTATTAAGTGTAAAACTATGTTAAGCTCATTTTATGAATTTGGTTTAATGTAGGTTTAAAGATGAGAACTGTTGGTGGTACGTTCATGTTTTCTATACTGATATAAGTACACCTTACTCTTAGATAATTGCGAGAACATAGATTCTATTTTTTTGGGCTTAGCAGTAATGTGGTTAATTATGTTTAAATTTTTTAAAGAAAATCCCATTGGGTATATGAAGATCCAATTATAAAGATGAGAAAAGATATTTTCAAGGAAAAGGGTGTGAGAAACAAAAAATACTGCACGATTCCCACTAAGGAGCGATATAAGATAACCATAAAAATTGACAAGCAAAAAAAGGGGGAAAAAAGGATTTTTTTTTTAAATAAACAACATTTTCGAAGTACATTATTTGCATCAAATATGGATTCCATATACGACAGCCAACTCTTTACTGCCAACTGCTTACTGCCAACTGGTTATAGATGATATTGTATGTTTTATCTTTAATATCTTTAATACACAGGCTTGAATAAACAATTATTATAAAAAAAAATATTGGTGGATTCAGGAATTTTTAAACGGTGAAGGCGAGGAAGGAATAAATAGGAGGAAAGAGTATTTTCCCTTAATTAAATACAAACATACAATTCCCACATCCTTGCAGGCAAATACATGTAATTCAATAGCTTTTTTAACGGGGGAGATTAATTAAAGGTTTAAATAACGTCAAAAACCATTCTTGGGGGTGGGGATGGGGGTGGAGGACAAACTTTTAGTAGGATCTTGGGTAACATTGTTGATAGATAATGTAAATCCCTACTTCACATTATTGAGAACAGTCAGTTGTCAACAGAATTTTCTATCTGTTAACAATTTTGCAAAATAAATAGAATTTAATACATAAATAAATAAAATACTTAAAATATAGAAATTGTTTGACTAGATTTTTCAACCGATTTTTCTGTGGTCTTGCAGGGGATAAACAACTGTGCATGTGTGATATTATTTACTATTTAAACTTCTGACAATTTCCAGTCAGTTTTGAAGGAGAGAAAGTGTCTTTTCAGGGAGCAAAGATTAGGACTTTTAATCAGTTACACAAGGATTTTCATGTATCCTAACATGCGCTTTTAAACCCATCCCAAGAAATCCCGTCCGATTTAGCTTTGAGCTGAACTCAATACAAGTGCTATTAACACTAATCACCGATATTCCCCTAAGAGTGATTCGAGACAATTTATGGCAGAATCTTGTAGAGGTGGATCTAAAAAAAAAAATACTTTTACAAATATTTTCCTCGGATGTCATTGATAATTATAGCATTTATTTCCTTTAATATGCTCAATATTATTTTGCTACCACGCGTTCTTCTACCTTTTTTGCATGTGGAATTTATTTAAATTTTATTTAGAATTAATTAAATATATCTTGAAATTTAGCGATTTCTTTTTTATTATAGCCTTAAAATATTTTTAAATCTAAGGAGAATCTATAGTGTACAAGTCCCTCTAAGACATCGTGAGTTACCCCATACCCTGCATATTTAACTTACCCCTTGAGAAGAAGGTAAACATGGCCTATTTAAGGTATCACACCGGTAATTGTTTTCACTATGTAATTCTATATAGAATAAAAAATCATTAAAAATCAGGTATTCGAATTCATGAAAAAATATTTAGCAGGAAGTGTTAAACGTTACCAGTCACATCAGCTGACACCAAAAAATAGGGTACCTACATGGCATTTTCTGATTTTTTCCATCCGCAAACAGGAATACCCTCAAAACCACGTGTATTCAATGTGTTTATAAACATCCTGTGTGCACCCCAGGAAGTGGCCTCCTATGCCCCGAAAGAAATAGTTCCTGTCAAAAGCCTTTAATATTTTACAAAGTACATAAAATATCCTAAGCACAGATACCAAAAATGTAAAAATAGAATAAGGGAAATAAAAAAATTTCTCACAATAAAAAAAATATTTCTTTATTATGTATGGAACTACAATTGACTAAGTTCATTTTGATTGGTCAATTACCGGTGTGATACGTACCTTTACACCCTTCCTAATACGCATTCAAAGGCAATATTTCTCAATATTTGAAATTTTAATTCTTTTCCCCCAGACACTCTCCTTCCCATCTATGCCCTAAAATCAGCCCATTCCACCCCGTATACATCCGAAGACATATTTATGAAAAAACCAGTGTTTTTATATGGCACTACTTGCGTGGTCAATGAAAAGGGGTAAAATTAGTGACCTGTGATACGCTTATACTTTCTAAAAAAAAAAAAAAAAAAAAAATAAGAGTTACAAACTCAAACATGTATTTTAATTTCCTTTTTATTTGAATTTGTTTATCGTTTACTCGTTTATTTTCTATAATCATATGTTTCATTTTAAACTCGTTATTATTATTATTGAGCACGTAGGAAATTGAAATCACGCCCCCCCCCCCCCCCCCCCAACCTCCAATGAAAGGCCTTATATTGGTCTTTTAAAGCTTTAATTTTAAATCTGAAAAAATGTTGGATCCTTCCCTCAGCAGTGCTGCCATCATTTGTCTCGCATCACTCTCATGGGTAATATAAAGATTAGCGTTAATTGCGCTTTGATTGAAATCAGTCTAAAGCAACACCGGAGAAAATCCACAGAATTTCTTCCCATGCCATGTATGTCTGCGTGTGTTGTACTGCTTCAGTTGTAAAATTAAAATGTTTGTCTTAATTATATGTAATCTTAATTTTGAAATAAAGTGTCTCTTTGATTATTATAGTGTTAATGTAAATGAAATACCAGTTGACTTATTCAACTACTATTATATAATGCACCAAGAACATCCTCAAGTAGATTTAATGCTAACTTTCAACGAGCTATGAAAAACATATTATGATGAGTATTATTTTTTACTTATTTATTTTTGTTTTTCTTTTAATGCAAATATTTTGTACTACAGTTTTCCACCTTCTTTTCTAATAATCACTGGGCTTCTTTGTTTTATCTACCATGTGTGTATAATATATGTAAAGTGTTTTGCATGCTTAATTATATGTTGTATAGTATTTAATATTTCTGTGATATTTTTAGCTGTGATTAGTCGGTTTAAGAGCTCTACAGAGCTCGTGTTAATTGTTATGCTATGTACAAAATACCGACTTTAAATAAAATTTACTTACTTACTTATGTTTTTCTACTTATGTGTGTTCCGTAATTTGTGGACCTCTTCCAATTTATAAACAATGGCGTCTCTACTGAAAAGTGTCCCTCGACATGTATGTAAATGTTTTTCATAGTCATGCTGCAAAATACTACAAAATATTAAAGTCTTAATTTAATAACTAGAGAATTTCTTATTTCCGATAAATGGTGAAATAGTTAAGAACTTTGTGTATGTTTAAATCTAACAGTAAATGTAGGACGTTGATATCGATATGGCGTGCAGTTAATGAAGTAAATAGTTAAGATTAAAACTGCTTTACATTTGTGTTTATTTCATAGGTCTGTAAATTATATAAGTTTCCTGTGCGGTATGTAAACTGGACGCCGATCCTGATGAATGACTTCAGTCGATTTCCAGTACCGGATGTCAAAAGCCTACCCGAAGATATGCGAACAGCCATGGAAACTGTGGAAGAGAAAGTACAGCTGTTTTGTTTCTTATTTACAATTTAAGTAATGTCACTCATTTGCATATTTATCATTTATTTCAAATCTTCCCGTTAATCTATTCATGAAATTACGATAAAAGCTGAGTTTTGACTACATGTACCTTAAAAGAAAAGCAAATTTTGATTGAGAAATAAAAATGTATCAAATAGAGACATTTCAAAAACCATGAATAGACATTAATTTTATTGATACACTAAATTGTTTTATATCCAATTTTCATATTACTCATAATATGTTATTTACTTTTTCATATATTCATATTCACTTTATTGCGTACGACTTACATCTTATTGTATACAATACAAATTAATTTTATTTATATATATATATATATATATATATATATATATATATATATATATATATATATATATATATATATATATATATATATATATATATATATATATAGTAAGGCATAGTGCATGTGTTAAGGTACAGTTAGCACAATAATAATACAATCAATAATTCATTGTGGAGAATGTACAAAGCATTTAAAAAATGTTTATAATACATTATGACATTCATTACGTATTTTAAGAGTATGATACAGAATTTTCCCAAAATTACAAAGTTCCTTGACATTGTTTGCACATAATAATTATATAAATTTAAACATAGATGGTTTTTCCCAGTAAAATTTTTTAAATATATTTTACTAGTAAGTCCTTATATCGTGGAAATTTTAAAACAAAATGGATTATCCCTTTGGGTTGCCTTTAAATTAACTACTGGACTTTGTAATATTGACCAATCAAATTAATGTTTATATAATGTCTATCACATGGTTAATTCACTCTAGCCTTTTTTTCTATGTGAAGAATTTTTCCAACCACTACTTTCCCCCTCCACCACCCTCTTTTACCGGTTTACCAACAAGTTTTGGCTTTTTAAATCATTGTTCACGGGAACTTTTTGTGTTAGGTTTGCTGGCTTTTTGTGCACCACCTTTTTGATATTATTAGTGTTTGTAACATTTATTGGCTGGGCTACTTTTGTCATATGATTAGTCATGATTCTCCGTAGTTGAAATCGAACTGCATCACATAATTTATTAAAAGGAACTAATTTATTTCAAAACTTCATTTTAGTCCTAAAGAATTAAGAGTAAGGATCTTTTACTAAAACAGAAAGGTTGACCATGTTTTAAGAACTTTGTGGCAACCATTTCATTTCAAGCTCAACCCATCTGACAAATGAGCCCCATGTCTATTAACTAAAGAAAGTATCGATAAATCTTGTACAGAAAAAACTCAAGTTTTATAGAAAATGCAAATTGGAAAAAAATTGTAGTTGATATTGACTTCTAATTTACAGAGTGGGTTTTCTCCTAATGTGTTCCGGGCCATGTCATATCGCCCAGATGAATTGCGGTCCTTTATGCAGTATTATGATGCTGTAATGGCAGTAAACAAAGGTGGGGTTTCGACTGTTTTAATTTTAAAAAAGAAAATATTCACATGTAAAAGGATATTGATGAATTTTATGTTTAATAATTTATCAACTATACTTAATTTTTTTATATACATGAAGTTCATTTTAGCAAAATAAAATAGACTAAAGAATGTTTATTACGAGTGGTACTTGCATTGAAAGAAAGTCTTGAATACTAGTAGTTCCAACATGTGGTCATAAGTATAATACAGATATAGCCACTATTAGAATATTTTTTAATCGAAAGATAATTCAAAGAGAAGGAAACCTTGTACACGTTTTACAATAGAGAAGAAAATACTTGTTTAACTCCTCTAACATTTTTTTTAAAGCTGTCATATTTTACTTGAGGAAAGGCGCATTCTTTCTCATTTGCTTATGAGTAATACAATTTTCATCACATAAATTTACTCTGATAAAGGTTTGCTTAAAAAGGCAACCGTATTGTTAATCGCTAGCATTAGACACCGCTCACCTGAATTTTTTTATCTACATAATCTTTTTCATTGTTTTCGAAGTTCAATCACGATTTGTTTTTCGTATGTATTTTCCATAAACACATTTAGTAAAATGAGGGAACAATTTGTTGATTTTTTTTTAGGAAAACGAGAAATCAGCCAAAACTTTTATTTAATACATTTCTAACAGTTGATAAATGTGTATACATGATATTAAAAATATTATCATTTTTCCCCAACTCGTACTTTATTGATATTATTGAAACATTTTGCCCAGGAAACTTGACAAAAGCGGACAAAGAGATGATCGTGCTAGCGACATCCTCAGAAAATAATTGTCTCTACTGCATCATAGCTCACGGAGCACTCCATCGCATATTTTCTAAAAATCCGCACTTAGCAGATCAAGTAAGTAATTCAAAATTTAATTATTTCATAATGAAAAGTAAACGTCACTATGCATAGAATTAAAAGCAAAACTTCTGCCTATAATTAATTTTTGCTTAAATATTAACCAATGATGTTGTGATATAGCTATTTTATTTTCAATATCCATATTATTCATGCTATTATGGCTCCTTTCTTGTAAATCCTCATCAATTCAAATAATAAATGGCATCATCTGGTCTAATTAATGTTTAATTAACTTTCTAATTAAACGGGGAAATTGAATTACATTTAATAACACAGGGGATTTAATTAAAATAACAATTCACCACAAAGTAAAATAGATAATAAAAATATGTGATTAAGTTACTTTACTTTGAAAAGATCGCTGCAAATTGGAAAACGGCGGATCTTGACGATCGACAACGTGCCATTTTGGATGTTGCCATGGATTTGTGTCGCTGTCAGCCCATCTCAGAAGATAAGATAGAAAACCTGGAAAAACACGGACTTGATAAAGACGATTTGTGGGATATTGGGGCAGTGACAGCCTTATTTGCTTTGTCTAACAGAATGGCATACCTGATGAACTTAAAACCAAATAAAGAGTTTTACTTAATGGGACGAATTCCAAAAGAAAAGTAAAATGGTGTTATATTTGATATTTTATTCTGCTAATGTACAGTGCTTTTGAACACAGTTAACTATGTTTATTTCATACAATATATGTGTTGTTATATTATAAACAGAATGTGATTAACTGCAAATATAATAAAATAAACACATTTGAATCTACATGCATCACTAAACTGCATTTTCATTAACTTTTTTACTTTTTCTATGAGTTGGAAGTTTACAATAATTTACAATAATCAGAACTACCATAACTGTAGCTAAAAAGTAAAAATAAAATACATGTATACATGTCCCTATTTCCCTTTATAAAAACATGCATTTTGAAAATAGTTTCAAATAATTTTAAGGTCCTTCGGATGAGGCCATGATATATACATACGAGGGTTGTCCAAAAAGTTCGAGGACAAATGCTTAATTTTCTTTATTAAGTCCACAATGGCAAACATGTACGATAATATCTTAATATAGACCATGATTGAGTAAATGTACAAAAAATTAAAACAATGCACACTATTTACTGAACATTATAGGTGTAAATACTTTGTATATGCAAGTCGCACGGGCTATTCTGACGTAACGCTTTTTTCATGATAATGTCAGAAATGTGAATTTTGAATTTTTATCGCATGTTCATAGACGCACGCTATTTTTCTTTATTTAGCCACATTGCCAAATGTGTGCAATAATATTTATGTATAGATTATAATTAATTTTAATTTTAAAATTCAAAACAATACACAATAATTTACGAGCGTCATTAACATTAACACTTCGTAAACACAGGATGCACAGCCTAGCCCGACGGCGCTATATTTATAACAACGTCATGAATAGGAATATATCCTATTTTCATTCAACAGTAGTTCTCCACTTCTTGTAGTGTCTCCGAAATTTTACACACCTTTGAAAAATCGTATACACCAATTACAAATCACTAGACTAAATAATTTCCAATAAATTTAAGTTGTTTGAATAAATATTTTGTTTTTGACGACGTTTCAACCATATTAACCATAATTGTATGATTGGACGCTGTCCCGTTCTGATGGCTGACGTCGCTTTTTCTGTCAATTTTTGAAACATACTTCTTGCGGTTTTCATTTAATATTTTCATTGTCTATTTAGTAAGCGATACTAAAGGTATCAGAAAATAGCGATAACCGCTTTATTTGTGATATATTACATTTTTAATCAGCTTTGACTCGTTTTAAAAAGAAAATAATCATTTCAATGAGATCACTTTATTTAAAAGTTCATGGCATTTTAACTCTAGTCCGTGCGCACTATCGGCGACCTTTAATGACCGAGATTTTTACAAAAATATTAAGTTCAAACAATAAAAACCAAACTATTCCGACTTGGATTTTCATGACTAATATTTTGGTATACAATAAGCATATCTTGAACCATTCATTTTGACAAAAACGCCATTGTCCACGAACATTTTGGACAACCCTCGTATATATATATATATATAGAGAGAGAGAGAGAGAGAGAGAGAGAGAGAGAGAGAGAGAGAGAGAGATTGCATGTTGTTTAACGTCCCATTCAAGAATCTTTCACTCATATAGAGACGTCACCATATACCGGTGAAGGGCTTCAAATTTAGACCTTTACTCGGCACTCAGGGCCATTGAGCAGTGAGGGATCTTTATCATGCCAACGCCTGTCGTGACACGGGGCTTCGGTTTTTAAGGTCTCATCCGAAGGACCCGCAACTTTCATTTCAAATTGCCGAGCGCTTGGCGAAGGAACAGTTTCTACCTATTTTTTATCGACTTAGGCCAGTCGCGACCGAGAGAGAGAGAGAGAGAGAGAGAGAGAGAGAGAGAGAGCAAATTTTACAACAACTCTTAAACTAACATACCGTCACGGTAGCTCAGTCGGTAGAGCAATCGCTCCGTGATTGGAAGGTCGTGAGTTCGTATCTCGGCCGCGACTGACCTTAGTCATGCATTCCTTTATTTAGAATTGCAAAGGTCGTCAAACTGCCTTTAAGGGTTTGGTTTTGTGTGCAGCCAAGTGAGACTCACTAAAAATGAAAACCTTAATATCTCAAAAATTAAGCCTTGCAAACACTTGAAAACTGGTGCATGTCATCTTCATAATGAAAACAATCTCTGGATATATGCAGCTTAATTGACACTTGCAGCAGTTTGCAGCTATGAAGTGCACAATATACCTGCAGGACTGCGCAGCCACAGGTTTTAGTAGTGCACCAAAAAATCCCCAAAAATATGAAATAGTTAAACCAATTAAGTGCCTACAACTATTTGTGAAGAACCTTTGTTTTAAATGTAAACTCACTACAATAGGTACATTTCTTTAAATGCATACTTGTTAGTTAAACAAGAAAATGTTAGCCATGAAAGAAGTCCCAACCACATGGCAATGTGTTAAAACTAGAATTAAAGAGACTCACTGTTGATCTAAAAATAGCACTTTATATGAAAGCCCAGATGTATCTAAAGTATTACTCTATGTTGTGTTCAAAACACAGGGAAATTAATGTTAGAAAAATAATTTTCTCCTTAAAAAATATGCCAAATAAGATGTTAAAAATCTGCAGGGATAATGAAAGTGTGCAATTTAAATAAGAGGCCTGGCCCACAACATTCACTTGAGTCACCTTGGTGTTCTTCAGATTTCTAAGACATTCTTATCCCCCTTAATTCTCATAAAAACAAATTTGAGCTAATATTGTGGCCCCACCCTGGGGTCATAAGGCCATGTCTAATCCAAAACTGATTCCACAACATGAGGATATTTCATTATCAATATGGCTAACATGACTTATATGTTTTCTAAAGGTTTTTTTTTTCACATGTATACATGCATTTACCAATTTATATATAAAATCAGATCTCAGATTTATCTGAAGAAAAAAAATTGAAAAAAAAAATACAAAAAGGGAATATTTTAATATTACTATAATATTAAGTCTGGCCCATGATTTTGACCAACTTGAATCTTCACTACTTGAGGATACTTGCATTCATTATGAGTAAATCATTACCTTGTTGTTCATTAAAGGACGATATTTTCCTATCTTTTCCCATGTCAAACTTTGATACCCTTATTTTAGGGTTTAATTTTTATGGATGACAGATGGACAGACACCAGAGACTCTTTGATCAGAAAAGTTCAATAGAGCCTCTGCTCAGATGAGCTACAATGTAAAATGTCTTTGATTATTGTAAAAAAAAGTCACCAAGAAGAACAAAAGAAAAGGATGATAAATGAACTTTTTTTATTCTTAATCACTTCCAGGATGTTATATTTCTTTTAACATGTTAACCAGTATATGCAAGTTTGACTATTTTTTTGTGAAACATTCTTTAAAGATATAAGGTATAATTTTATAAATAAGTTTCAATTCTAAGAATATAACTCTAATATAACTCCCCATACCAAAATTAAGTACAAATTAGGTACGAAAAAAAAGTACAAAAAAAGGTCACAAAAAGTATACTTTTTTCGACTAAATTTGGAACAAGGGATTTGGTCGTTCCAAATTAAGTCAAAAAAAGTATACTTTTTTGTGGTTTATGAGAACTCAGGTTCTTGGGTACAAAAAAAAGATAATAAAAGTATACTTCTGGTACATTTCTATATTTGAGAAAAGTACAAAAAAAGTATAATTGGAAGTACAGAAAAAGTATATTCTTAAAACTAACATACAAAAGTACAAAAAAGTACATCTGGAAAAAAGTACAAAAATGTATGAAGTACAAAAAAGTATACTTCCAGTACAAAAAAGTATACTTCCAGAAAGAAGTACAGAAACGTATGAAGTACAAAAAAAGTATACTTCCAGTACAAAAAAAGTATACTTCCAGAAAAAGGTACAGAAATGTATGAGGTACAAAAAAAGTATACTTCCAGAGAAAAGTACAAAAATGTATGCAGAAAAAGTATAAAAATAGTACTTCTTTAGATTGATGCTTAAAAAAGTACAATAAAATGTCAAAATTAAATGAAAGTACGAAAAAAGTATACTTTTTAATTGGTACAAAAAAAGTAGGGAAAAAGCACCCCCCCCCCCAAAAAAAAATATATAGCAAATACCCCCCCTTTTTTTTTAAATACATATATATTATTTTGAAAGAACAATGAAAAACCTCAAAAATGACCATTAAGCTCAGGTATACCAAAATGAAACCAATTAAAAGTACAAAATTGTATTTTGAAAGCATGAAATTTTAACAAAAATATGAAGTATAGGGAAAAAAGTTCAGCTTATCTGAATATCAGAAAAAAATCAGAGAAACTGGAAATCGGGGAAATCTCTATTAAATATTAGTTACAATTCAAAAATCTTAAATGCTAGCTTTTATCAAAATTCAGAAGCATGAAACCCCAGATCTTCATTACATTATTCATTATTTTCAGTACTAATCTTCCATAAATAATTTAAAGAATATATTGGAACATTAAATCATCAACAAGATTATAATTCTGTAAATAACAAGATCTGATCCTTTATAGTCTAGTAACTTATAACGCATGGTTATGTCACTGATTGATCACGCTCACAGATCATCTCTGCTCCTTCACAGTCTAGCCATCCCATCTTTCCCTCCCGTTTGAATTTTCTTGCTGACACAATTCAGTGCGCTAACCTTTGACCGCATAGCAGTGTTAATGTCACCCATTTTTTCACTGATCTTCATTTGAATATGCTAAATGATTTCAGCCTTCAAGTACTTTTCCTTGGGTTCTGCAAAAAAAGTTTAATAATCAAAGCATATTTTTTTCAGTTTTAAATCAAACATGTTCTCAAAAAGCAGCATTCCTGTGCTTAATCATGGCAGACTGACATATAGAATCATATATTCAGTTTAATATTCAAATAACTTGAAAACCAATTAAAACTCAAAATTCTTATGTGAAAATCCAAAAAATTAACCCCTGATCATCCCTATCACTTATAAAGTTTTAAAATAAGTCTTTTCAGTGCATGAGTATATTAAGGACAGACAAGCCTACTAATTTGATACGTCTATTTTGTAATTTACAGAAATCAAATTTGATTAATATGTACTTACTGATGATAAGATACACTTAAATCGTTGAAGCATTTTCCTATGGCTCTGCATGTTAGTGAGATGCTCATGGCAAAAAACACATGCATGCACTGCTGAAAATTATAAAAGAAAAATCAGGTAACTTG